CCCCCCCAAATTCCAGTGTCGAAGTACGAGTTCCCCGCAGCACAGGACAGGTAAGACAAACCATGTCGCCTGAGAGAATAAAAAAGGCAAACACCTGCCTCTAGATCCTGAGATATCTACAATATTGATAACAATGATAACAATATCCAGTTGTTTAGAATGTTTCATTTTCTATCTTGATGCTTATTGCTTTGCGTCTCTCTGTCCTAACTAAAGATTCATCAATAATTCACAAAACCTGCATAGACAGAGCTATAGATGAGCCATCATGTGTATTGGGGACTGGCGCTCAAAATCATGTGACTAACTTTCCACACAGATAAATGGCCAAATTATTGATGCGCTGGCCTCAAATTATGCGACAAAAGTATTGACTGATGGCCCACCCGGTGTGGCTCAGTGGTTGAGTGTCAACCCATGAACCTGGAGGTCACAGTTCGATTCCCTGTCAAAGCACATGCCCTGGTTGTTGGCCAGATCCCCAGTGGGGGGCATGCAGGAGGCAGGGGATCGATAACTCTCTATCATCACTGATGTTTCTATCTTTCCTTCTCCTTTCCATTCTCTGAAGTCAATTTTTTTAAAAACTATTGATTGATGGAAGTCCTCAAGATTAATCTTCCCCCACCACCATGAGGGCAGAGATCATCATTTTTATCTCTTTACCTTCAGTACCAAGCACACAAGGACAGAGTAGGCACCTAATAATTGAGTGAGTGAGTGAGTGAGTGAATGAATGAATGAATGAATGAATCTCCTTCAAGTGTCTCAAATTAGGCATGTGTCTACACTAATGCAAATGTAAACTAACCCCTATGTAAACAGACAACCAGATCATAGAGCCAAGATAAAACTGCAAAAGGTTTTTGGACTATTTAATCCATCTACAAAGACGCAATAAACTGTATTCTTGCCATAGTCTTTCTTTTTTAAATATTTTTATTGATTTTTAGAGAGGAAGGGAGAGGGAGAGAGAAAGAAACATCAATCAACTACTTCTTGTATGGATCCTACTGGGGCTCAAGCCCACAACCAGGGCGTGTGCCCTGACCAGAAATTGAACCCTTCTGTGCACAGGACAATGCCCAACCAACTGAGCCACACAGGCGAGGGTGCCATTTTATTTCTTACTAAGAGCTCTGCAGATCCTGTCTCTCTTCTGCACACCCTATCTCTTTAGAAGGGTATATCTATATAGATGCTCCCATTTGAGCCTCTTGCTAGAGCTATCACCATCCTAACTTTCTGGTGGTTAGCCACACTTGCAGTGCAAAAGTCTATTGGATTTATGACCAAAGAAAATTAATGTCCCCATAATGGCAATTGTGGTGGACTTGTGGGAGAAAATGGGACCATAATGTTTATGTGTTTATATGTTTTTAATGTTTATAGGTTTGATGTTATAGCCCTGATCCGAAGAAGAATAGGCGTGTCTGAGATTAGCTCATTGTTAAGGAGGTTATAAGCATGAACAGTTTCTGCTAACTACCCAAGCTCATAAATGCCTCCAAATGGCTTTTTCCATTTTTATGGGGCCAATCCTCAGATTCCCCATACACATAAAAGGGGTGAGAGGGATCCACTAGCCTCAGAGGGACTCCCAGCTCCAGCTCACCCCACACTCTGCAATTGCTGCTTTGCTCTCACCCAGGAAGCCATCATGTCTTGCCGCTCCTACCAAGTCAACTCTAGTCGTCATGTGGGCAACTTCAGCTCTTGCTCAGCAATGGCCCCCCAGAACCTGAACCGCTTCCGGGCCAGCTCTGTCTCCCGCAGGAGTGGGTCCAGCTTCCGAGGCCTTGGCGGCTTTGGTAGTCGGAGTGTCATCACCTATAGATCATGCTCACCTCGGATGGCAGCTGTTGGCCCTCGTCCTATCAGCTGTGGTGCTGGCAGTGGAATGGCCTTTGGCTTTGGTGGTGGGTGTGGTGTTGGTCTGGGGTTTGGAGCCAGCAGTGGCTTTGGCTATGGCTGCAGTGGCCCTGGCTTTGGCTACAGAGTTGGAGGAATTGGAGTCCCAGCAGCCCCATCTATCACAGCAGTGACTGTTAACCAGAGCCTGCTGACCCCGCTCAACCTGGAGATTGACCCCAATGCGCAGAGGGTGAAGAAGGATGAGAAGGAACAAATCAAGACCCTCAACAACAAATTTGCCTCCTTCATTGACAAGGTACAGCTCAGGCCCTGGGTCCGGGATGATGGGAGCTACAATGCGTTGGGGTGTTCTTTCCCTTAGGAAGAAACAGCCCACACTTCAGGCATTGACCTTCACTCCCAGATCCTTTAGGTGTCAACCAAAAATGTTGCAGTATGATTTCTGGGTCACTGCTGTAGAGCAAGGACAAGGCTGAGGCGTGCTGCATGGCGGGCTAGGCTAACACTGGTTGTGTCTTCTGGAGGAAAGAGGAACAGACAGCCAAAGCTGAGGGCATCTGGACAAACTCAGACCTACTGCCCAGTCACTTAGAACTGTCTCCCAGACAGGCTGGAAACATTTGGACTTCAGCCAGGTGCTGGCTGCTATTGGTTTAAAGGTTTTTATCCTTTGAGTCTCTCATGCTCTCTTTGAAGTTTCCATAGTTCCTGAGGCTGGGTGACCACATTTGACCAGGCTTAGGAGATTGGAGAATGGAGTTGAGTAATTTTTGTACAAAATGAAGAATTCATACCTCCATGTGGGGTAACCAGATTCAGCCCAGTTGCCTAGATTGAGGGAAATAGTGGGGAACCACCACAGGTAGTCACTGATCTCCAGGCTGATGAGAGGAACAGTGATGTGGAACTGACATCCCACAAAGCATGTCTCCATGGAGCGGGAATGCTCTGATTGTGTCTGAGATGGGAAACTCACTTCTGTGAACTTCAGTTTTCTCATCTAAAATGAGGGATTGGAGCAAATGATCACTAAGTTATTCTCCAGCTCTGTAAGTCTCAGCTGACAGCATATCTGGGATGGTGGGTATGACCTCTGACCTGAGAATTCCCACCTCCTAATGCCATATCCCAATCCAAGTGTACTTTACTCTGCTCTTCATTTCCTGCCAGGGATGGCTGACATCTGTTTTTAGATATAGACAACCCCAGCTCAAGCAACATCAATCTTTCTAACTTCCCAGAGGGCAGAAGGAGAAATGGACCTGAAGCGCTTTGTTTCCAAGGCCTCTGTTTGTAGCTGAGCCTGGTTGAGCATGAGGAGGGGGTCAGAGACCTGCTCTTCCAGGTTCTACTGAATTAGAGGAATGAAGGTCAACAGAGAAGAGAATGATGTCACCACAGTGTTGAGAGTCCTTTCTGGCCATCTGAAGAACTGTTGGGCATGTAGGTGACTGTCAAGCACTTCAATTGCCCTTTCTGTGCCCCTGTGGATTTAGGTGCGGTTCCTGGAACAGCAGAATAAGCTTCTAGAGACCAAGTGGAACTTCCTCCAAGAGCAGAAGTGTGCCAGGAGCAACCTGGAGCCGCTCTTTGAGAGCTACATCACCAACCTGCGGAGGCAGCTGGATGTAGCCAACAGCGACCGGGCCCGTCTGGAGGCTGAGAGGAACAACATGCAGGATGTCCTGGAGGGTTTCAAGAAGAAGTGAGTGGCATCTGGACTGCACTGACCAAGGGTGGGCATGGGCTGGTCCTTAAAGTGGTAGTCAAGTTCAGATAAGGGAAGCTGGAAGAACCAGGGTTGAATGCTGGCTTCAATACCCAGCCTGGAGACAGAGGTGGGGGCAATGATATGTAAGAACTGGAGGAGGTCCTCCTTAGATCCTGAGGAAAAAGGAGGCTTGGAGTTGGGCATGGTTTTTCCTAATCCTGACTGCGGAAATAGGTGAGTTAGCCCCAGAAAAAGGAGGCCTCTGGTTTTGAGAACAGTGCCCAGGTTCAGCAACAAGTTGGGTCCTACTTCCTCTCTGGTCCCGCGCAATGACCCTAAATCTTTTCCAGAAGAGCATAGAAATGGACCAGATTTTCAGATCCCACACCCTATTTGAGAAAGTTGAAGGGATTTGGAGAAACTGAGGGCTACTGGTTCATGTAAGGTCTTAAAGAAGGGACAGAGCGACTGAGAACATGTAGGTGACAACAGGAAGCTGTGCTCTTGGGTGGAGCAGAGAGGTCTCAAGAGGCTCACTGGGGAGTTGAAAGTTATTGGCTCTCAGTTCAAAATGAGAACTTACCCTCTTAATTCTTTTCATCCAGGTACGAAGAGGAGGTGGAATGCCGGGCCAACGCCGAGAATGAGTTTGTGGCTCTGAAAAAAGTAAGGGAGAGCAATAGGTCCAGGCAAATGTCCCCGAAACCCTCCAGGAAACTGCCCAGGTGGCCCTGTGGCATCTCAGACCACCCACACAGAGTGGAATCCTGAAGGTCACAGAGGTTCCCTTGGAAGTTCAAATTTGTTCTCAGATTATTTAAGATTGGTTAAGTTATTTAGATATCCTTTCAAGAGTCTTGGAGTATGCAGATTCTCCTTGCCTGTAATAAACATCAGGAGAGGTCCAGCAGCCCCAGGGGAATTTCTATGTTGCAGTAGGAGAAGAGCAATCGTCACTCAGCTGCAGTTCCACCCACTGACTTCACCACCCATCCCATATCCTGGCCTGGCCCCGGGGATTGGTCTGAACTTCCCACCCATCTCCAGACTCCGCCAAGGTGGGGAGGTTAAACAGTGCACAAGTAATGCGCATCTTATCCCTCTCTCTTTTATGCAGGATGTGGATACAGCTTTCTTAAATAAATGTGATCTAGAGGCCAACGTGGACACCCTTGCTCAGGAACTTGACTTCCTGAAAACCCTATACATGGAGGTAAGGGATCATCCCTTCTGAGCCATAATAAGATCAGTGCTTAGCCTGGACTCCCTGGGGGCTTCTGGACTGGAAAATTTTCTAACATTGGTGTCATACATCTTTCCTCACACTCAAATCTATATCCTCTATATGTCAATGTACCTACCAGTGGAGAAGGTAAGGTAAGCAGGCTTCTCAGCAGCCTGACTCAGGTCTATGAATGAACTCCTTGGATCTATGATCCAATCCCTTGTTGGCCAACCCAAAGATTGGGGTCTAGGAATGTTACTTTCTGTCTATTGATCAGAAGACTCTGGAAAACTGATTCTTTAGGAGATGTAAGAAAAATTGTGTTTGACCCAATTAGCCAATTGAACTAGCTCTCTTTTGCTTCATAAGTGGTCTTTTTGGTCTGATGTAGACTCAGCTAGAGCTGAATGTCTGGCTCTGAGTGGTAATGCTAAAGAAAGCTCCCTCTGGAGCCTTCACCTTGCAGGCCGGTTCCATGCTTCCTGGTTCCATTAAGGACTTGGGATATAAAAATTTCTAGACCCACCATGTTCTAAAATATTGTCAGTTCTCAATAACCCATGAATGGCACAGCCACTTTGTGCGTAAACCAAAGAAAAGTTTAAGCCCTGGCATGGCTCTCACTCTTCTTCACCTAAAACCTAGGCCCCCATGGTTTTAATACTCACCTAAGCAAGTCAGAGTGTTAAAGAGATGTCTCCAAGTACATAACAAGAGTTTAGAGTGAAGCAAACATGGTTCTTAGTCATATTTTTTTCTTGCCCTTGGTTTGGATGGCTAGCTCCATTGCTTTGCTCTGAACAGACAATCAATGCTCTCTGCTCCTCACACCATATCCTGAAGGCCGTGTGGCAGCATCCTGGCCACTGATGGGACTCTGAGTCCATCTCTCTTATTGATCTTCCAACACAGGAAATCCAGTTGCTGCAGTCGCACATCTCAGAGACATCAGTCATTGTGAAGATGGACAACAGCCGAGACTTGGACTTGGATGGAATCATCACCGAAATCAAGGCCCAGTATGAAGAGGTTGCCAAGCGCAGTCGAGCTGATGCAGAGGCCTGGTACCAGACCAAGGTGGGCAGAGGCGGGCTAGGGGAGGGCTGTAGGTAGCCTTGGGATAAGACTTGTGTACAACAAAATGGGCCCCATGGAGGTGTGAGACCCACAGTTCAGTTGAAGCTGTGGGCTCAACCCAACCTTTGAGTCCTCAGTAAGTACCCCTCTCCCCGTCCCCCACAGTATGAGGAGATGCGGGTGACAGCTGGCCAACACTGTGACAACCTGCGCAACACACGGAATGAGATCAATGAGCTGACCCGCCTGATCCAGAGGCTGAAGACAGAGATCGAGCACGCCAAGTGTCAGGTGAACAATGGAAAGTAGAGAAAGCCCCAGGGGGAGGAAAGGCAGGGCTCCGAGATTTGGGGAGCCCCAAGTCTGATAACATAGGGGAGACCACCAGGACCTAGAAATGGAGGAATGGGGGGATTAGTCCAGAAGGCTTCCTGGAAGAGGAAAATGTTGAAGGGAAGGAGGATCTCCTATACAGAAGAAAAGGCCTGGGGCTGATTTAGAGGGACAGGTGAAGGGGAAAGAAGAGCTCTACTCTCTTGACCCCATGGCTCTTAGAGCAGCAGATATCAGGAAGTGCAAAGTCACTGGGAATGGAGGCTGAAGAACTGCAGGATCACAGACCCTAAGAAAGCAGACACATGGGCTCCATCCCTGGCTTGCACCAGGCTGTGTCCCTACGAACAGGGCGTAGTGTTTCTAGCCCCACCTAGGGATCCCCTAGTCTCACCAAAACCCACCTGCAAACTGCCCTCCCTGCAGCGGGCCAAGCTGGAGGCCTCCGTGGCTGAGGCGGAACAGCAGGGTGAGGCAGCCCTCAAGGATGCCAAATGCAAGCTGGCAGATCTGGAGGGCGCCCTGCAGCAGGCCAAGCAGGACATGGCGAGGCAGCTGTGCGAGTACCAGGAGCTGATGAACGTCAAGCTGGGCCTGGATATTGAAATCGCCACCTACAGGCGCCTGCTGGAGGGCGAGGAGATACGGTGAGTGCTCTCAGTGCACCAAGAGGGAATGAGCTCAGACTTGGGCATCTGGACTAAGTGAGGGTGGGGAGGGGGAGCAGGTGAAGAACTGCTGGAATGAGCAATCTCCAGAAGTAAGAGAGCCTTTTCTGCAAACATTAGTAAGGTAAACCCTGGCCGGGGATTAGAAGATGACGAAATCTGCACCTTCTAAATGCAAGTTTGTAGACAACCTGCACCAGAAACAGGGAGTTTTGCTTGATTTGGTTAACTTGTTAAATAGTTTTGGGGTATGTCTAGGACTGTGTCACTTTTCAAAGCTCTCTGGATGCTTGTACAGCTAAGGGTGAAAACCACTGGTCCACTGGTCTATTCAGCCAAGAAAGCCCTCTGAGAGCAAGCAGGTTTTCAGGAAATAACACTGCTTATTAACTGACATTTCTTTTTTTCTCCAGGATCTGCGAAGGAGTTGGGCCAGTAAACATATGTAAGAAACTTAAGTCTTTTCCTCTTCACATTTCTCTCCTGGGGCCCTTCAAATTTCCCTTAAACTCAGGCCCACATTGGGGTCAGGAGCCCATGGCTGGGCTGGCCAGGACAGTCAGGGGACCAGGGACGATTAGGCCCCTGGACTGAGAGCATCCCCTTAGCAGAGGTCTGAGGTATCCCCAGAGACTGCCTTCCCCAGAGTAAGGAATCGCCAAGGTCTATAGGGCCTCCTAAGTGGGAGAAGGTTCCAGAAGAGTGGCAGCCCTTTCGTTTTGAGTGGCCTTGTCCTTAGGGACAAAAGCTAGAGGGAGGAATGGAAGGCCTCTGCCAGGGAGTTTCCTACCTACCTGATGGCAGGGAATGGGACAAAGCTGAATGGAAGTCCCCCTGCTGCTGCTGTTACGATTGCTGCCAAAGTACTGGTTGTGCCCAAAGCATTCAGGGCACAAAGAAGGTGAGCCCCAGCCCCTGCCCTCTGGAATTATAATCTTCTTGAGAAGATGAGTCCTATCCACTGTAAGCAGCCCTGGGGGAGGAATAGGCACTGGCAACCCCCTTTCACTCACTCAGAGAAAATATGTGATTTGCCAGAAGCCACATAGTCAGTGGCATAATCAGAATTCAAACCCAGATCTCTGACTCCAGAAACACAAATATACACAGATGTGTTGTAGAACTGAGAGCTAGACTGGGTGGGTCACAGTCAGAGGGGCAGGTGCTTGGGTGGCAATGCTGCAGAGAGGGGTAGACAGCAAGGATGGCTTCCTGCAGGATGCCAGGCTTGAGTGGAGGGCAGGAAGGATTCTGCTCAGAGGAGAGGCAAGAAGAGGGCTCCACAGGTGAGGGCTGGTCTAAGCGAGCTTCAGTCGGATTAGGGTCCTGGGCCGTGGAGGTGTACCCAGTGGAAGACAGAGGGCTACAGATCAAGACCATCAGGGAGTCAGAAGAGAACTGACAAGGGATTCTTATTGGAGGGGCAATGTGGGGACCACCAAGGGGCAGGATAAAATAAGAAGACAGAAGCCTCATGGCTTTATAAAGGCTACTGCTCCAACTATCTGGCTAATGTAGCTCACAATCCTCTCAACAAAATCCAGCATGACTTTGGTCATACATAAATGAGAATCAACCTATGGCTATATGCAAGCATCTGGGGAATTGACTGTATCCTTCCATTTACTCTGAATGTTTGACTCTAGCAGAGTCACAGCCTTTGAGTCACCCAGACAAGAGAAGGGAAAGCGGGTATTGACTGTGAAGACAATAGGGACCACCTCCACCCAGGCCTCTTCCCTGATGCCACCAGCCCTGGTCTCCCACCCCACACAGGGAGCGTGAGGGACATGGCAGCCTCGCTGACCGTTTCTTCCTCCTGCAGCCGTGAGCAGCTCCCGCGGTGGCCTGGTGTGCGGGCCTGAGCCCGTGGTCTCCAGTTCCACCCTCTCCCGTGGCAGAGTCAGCTACTCCAGCAGCAGCATCCGTTCTGGTGGCGTCTGCGGCTCCAGCCTGGGTGGGGCCCAGGTCGTCATGGGTGGTGGGGACCTGCTGAGCACAGGCTCCCGTGGAGGCTCGGTGCTCATGAGGGAGGCCTGTGGGCCCTGCGCCCCCAGCGTCCCCTGCCAGCTGCCCACCGAGGGCTGCTTCAGCAGCTGCAGTGGGGGCCGTAGCAGCCGCGGTTCCAGCGTCCGCTTCGTGTCCACCACCACCTCCCGCCGGACCAAATACTGAGAGCCTGGTGTCAGCCAGCCAGCTACTGCCCGGGGAAGAACCATCTCCGTGTCTTCTGCTTCTGTCCCCAAGGTGTCTGGACTCTGGGCTGGAAGGGCCACCCCTCTCGCTGGGAAGCGACACAGCTCTGCCTGCCTGTGTCCTCTGGGGGATACTTTTCTCCACCTAGATGCTCCATCCGCAGCCCCATCCAGATGGGCTTCTCCCTAACTCCCCATTTCCTCCCTCTAGTCACTCCTCACCATCCAGCTGAACAGCCTCCAGAAATGCAGATTCAGTACAATTACAAAAATCTGCACCTGGGGAGAAAAGTCTAAAGCCAAAAAGAATGTCTTTCGGCACCATGGCCATCCCAGTTCTGGATTAATTTGGAAAATGGAAAGCTGACTGAACACATGGCAGTTGGCCCACCATCCTTTGCCTCCTTCTTCTTCCTTTCCCTGGCTGAAGAAGGGTTTTTTCCCTTCTTTTCCTGATTCAGAAGGATCCACAGTCTTTGGTGGCCCAGGGAATCCCTTCATACAGAGATGGTTCTTCTCCAAGGGGCCTATGTCCTGGCTGCTTCTTTTCCTGGGTTGTTGGTTTAACTCCGCAGCATGTGAGCTCATGAGGTGGGTTGGGTGCTCATGGAGAGTTGGCTCTGCTACACCCACACACCTGTGGTGGTGTGAGGGGGCCCAGCCCTGTCTGCTGCAGGAGGGTTTATGTCTGCAAGCTCCAGGGGGCCTGGGGTGGGGTGGGCTACCTGTTTGTACTGCTCTTTGCGTTCCTGGATTTTCAATAAACTTGCCAAGCTAACATCACTAGGACTCCAGCCTCTCCTTCTGGATCATGCTGGAGCTAGAGGTGATTGCCTCCTAGACTCCATCCTGGGGATTTGCCAAGAGCAGAGGCTGGTATTCTGGGCACAGGGAAGGTGCTAGGAAAAGAGGGCTCAGGCCCTTCCCTGGAGGGACTCGCAGTTCAGCAAGGGAGAGAAAACATAGCAAAGGTTCTGAAAACAAGTGCCAAGCAGCCAACTTCTGTCTAGGCATTGCCCTGCAACCTTTAGGTGCCCTTCTCCTGACCAAGGTGAACCCTCCCATCTGTTCCCTGGATCCCACCCCACACCCAGTTCCTCTGAGATCACTGCAGGGGCCTCCTAATTTTTCTACCTCCACTCGTATCCTCGTCGGACTCATTCACCATGATACTGCTTTAGGTCTTCCTCCCATAGAACACTGATGGTGCTTACAGCCCTCAGTGGCTCCCCATTGCCTTCTTAATAGCTCCAACTTCTTAACATGGCATATAAACCCTGACTGACCTACTCATACACCCCGGCGATCCCCCGTCCTTATGTACCCTCAGGCAGCCCCCTTCCCCATGTACTCACTTTCAGCCTACCATCCTTTATTTGCTCATTCAGCATTTGATAAGTGCTTACTGCACGCCAGGCCTGCTGCTGGGGAAAGAGCAGTGAACAAGACTTGTCCTTGTCCTCAAAGAGCTGACAGTCCCTCTTGATCGATGGACAGGCAAACGAAGTTGTGACTCGATATGCTAAACTGCGTTACGAGTAGGATCAATGCTACAGCGCACAGAGGAGAGGCCCAGCCCGGATCTGGGGCATCATTAAATGCTCCCTGGGGGATGTGGTGTCCCAGCAGAGATGGGAAGGATGATGCGTGAGCCACACAAGGAGGTAAGAAGTGTCCCAAGCAGAGGCAGCAGCAAATGTGAAGTCCAAGAGGTTGGAGAGAGCATGCCCAGTCTGTGGGTCTGCCTGGGGTTGAGCATGAGTGTGGCACAGATGGGCAGGAGTCAGCTGAGGTGCACTCAGGACCAGCAACCTGGACAGAGCCCCCTTCAGGCACGTGCCTCACAGCGGGGACTGTGTGCCCCTGGGCCTCACCTGAGAGGCCTCCTCAGAGCGCAGGAAGCAAGTCTCCCACCTCCGTATGTACCGCCTTGCCCAGACTTCACCCAGCAGCCTGAGAATTACAGGTTGTTCTGCTCACAGCCTAACGCCTGCCTGACCCTGAACTCACCAGCCACCTGCCCTCCTGCTTCCAGGGGCTCCTGACTTACCACCTCATTTTCCATGTGCAAAGTCACATGCACCCCTCAGGTGACAGCAACATCGAGATTGTCCCAATCTTGGTGACAAGAGGGCTTGGCGCCTCTCCTCAGCCAGACCCACATTAGCCCTGTACCAGTTATCAATTTATTGCCTCAGCTCCAAATTCACCCTCATTGCCTACTCTGTGCAAATGGATCTGATCCCTATAGATATCTCCTATGGCCAGCTGGCACGAAGTCAAGCTTTGTCAGCAGGTATTTCCATAACCATTGGAGAGGAATTGTGAAGTCGGGGGCTTTGCTTCCACTATGCTCTCTGGGTAGTTTCCCCACACAGATTCCTGCAGTGCAGACTGGGGGTGTCTATAATCAGCAGCAGCCAGGAGCTTCCCAGCACGCTTTTTGAGAAATTGCATAGTAAAGTGCCTCCAGCAAGACACCTCCCTATGAAAGCTTTTCCCAGCACCCTAAAGGGCGTATTTCTGGTACATTCTCGAGGGAAGGTTCCCAGCCAGTTCCACTGGTGTGGCACCGCAGTGACTTCTCTGGAACCCAGTGAGTAGTGGCTGTGCCCTCTCCACCAAGGTCTGGATGTCAGTCATGGCTTTTCCTTGGGGCCCCTATCACAGCCCTAGCTGCTGGTCCTCACATTTGTCATTCCTATACTCTTTAGAGTTCTTTTTCCCTCATTACTCCAGCCCCCAACATTGTCTATATTAAACTTCCTCCGTTCATGTTACTGTGTGGTCCTGTCCCTTGATTGGATGCTGACTGACACATACCACTTGGATGTCACTGCTTCCAACCTCTCGGACCAGACAATAGGCCAATACTGGACTCCTCAGGCTCCAGCCTTCAGGTCTCTTCCCTTCTCTCTCTATCCCACCCTCTAGGTGACCTCACCCAGTCTCATGGCTTTGAATGCCATCCATATTCCAACGATTCCTGAGTTGATATCTCCAGCCCAGACCTTCATTAACCACAGGCTGGTGTATACAAATTGCTCACTGACATCTCCATCTGCATTTCAAACTAAACATGTCCAAAAACAAACTCCTCATCTTCCTTCTTCCCCTCCATGCTGCTCCTTCCATATTTGTGGCAACTTCATTCAGTTGCTTAAACAAAAATAAACAAATAAAATCTTGAAATCATCTCGAACCCCTCTATTTCTCTAACATTCCCATATTTAATCCATCAGCAAATTGTGTCAGCTGAACCTTCAAATAATATCCACAATCCAACTGCTTCCTCCACCTCCATGACTGCCACTGAGGCCTGAACTGCCCTGACTCTTGCCTGGACAACTGCAGTACCTCCTAGCTGGGCTCTCTGCTTCTCTCACCTTCTGCAGTCTGTTCTCAGAAAAATTGACCAAGGTGATCCTGTTAAAACTAAGTTGACTTCCAGTTCCATCCACGATGGAGTAAGCCTGTCTCTCCCATGGATTACAACTAAAAACTCTCAATAATTTTTTTTTTCAAAAATAACTATCAGAGGACCCAAAAAATAAACAAAAGCAAGTAGATCATGGCGAGAAAACAAAGCTTGTGGAAGTGGCCCATGTGTTTTTCCCATCTGTTCACATGGTTTTGAGCTGAGGGTGGGCCATAGTTGTGGAGCTGTGAGCCGTCAGCATGACCAGCTAAAACTTCAGTAGAAATTCCATCTTTCTAACCAGAGAAAGCAGGAAAAGGGGCCCCAGGGGTGGAAGATATGGAAGGGGAATTCTCATGTTTTTCTCTTTTCCCTCAAGGCTTTGCCTTAAGAACAGACCCCAGGAGTGGAGCTATGTGGCAGCAATCGCATGGGCGGCAAAACTCCAACAGAAACCTGATCTTTCTGGCTGACGGGAACCAAGAAAAGAGACCCCGATAAAGGGAAAGGCAGTGAGGAGGAAGGGATTCCTCTGTAAATCCTCTCAAGTTCTGGGCTCTCTCTTGAGCTGAACACTCATGAGACACCCAAGGCAGCAGGTCAAAGGCTTTGAGAACTGAGGTGAGATTTAAACCACTGCCCAAGTTTCAGACAAACTCCTAAGCGCCATATACACAGGACAAACACAAAGCAGCAAACAAAGTCTTGAAAAACTGAACTTAAGTGTAGAACCATTGCCCACATAGGAGAGACAGAACTTGTAGCCTGAACTCTGCTAAAACAAAACGCAACTGAAAATTCTCTAGAGGATTTGGCAGGACCAAGAGTCTATAAATCAGAATATTTAAAATGTCCAGTATATGAGCTAAAATTATTTTGACATTCAAGGGACCAGGAAAATGTAACCAATTCTCAAGGGGAAAGAAAGTCAACAGATGCCAATCCCAAGATGACACAAATGGTGAAATTATCACACAAAGACCTTAAAGCCCAATTATAACTCTGTTCCAGGAGATAAAGGAAAACACGTCTGAAGTGAATGAAAGTTTCTTATCAGAAAACAGAAACTATAAAAACAGAACCAAATGAAAACTTTAAAACTGAAAAATACTACATTAAAAAATTTTTAAATCATGGCAAAAAGGAGAGGACAAAAGAAAGAGTAAATAACTTGAATAGAAATTATCCACTCTGACGCAGCTGTAAAGAAGAAGGATCTCATACCCTTTGGGACAGTATGGAAGGACCTGGAGAATGTTATGCTAAGCGGAATAAGCCAGGCAGATAAAGAAAAATATCACACGATCTCGCTTATATGTGGAATCTAAAGAACTTAATAAACTGATGAACAGAATAGATTCAATGACATGGAAGCATAGATGAGACTGACGAATGTCAGAGGGAGGGAGGAGGGAGGGTGGGTGGAGGGGCAGAGAGTAACCAAAGAACTTATATGCATATATACACAACCCAAGGACACGGACAATGGTGGGGAGAGGGACTGGGGAAGGGGATGGGATGGGGTGGAACGGGTCATTGGGGAGAAAAAGGGACATCTGTAA